AATTTAGTGAGGAAGAAAAGGCCTCTGTTTTTTAGAATAAAGTCTAGGAATAAAGTGATCTAGGAATAAAGTCTCGTGCTTGGAGCACCATGAAGAAGGACTCTGAGTGAACTGAGAGAGGTGTACACGTAGGACAATACAGCCTGCATGCTTTAAACTTCAGAATGAAGGATTTATTTTACAAAAGTTAAACGGCCAGTAAATCTTAAAAAAAACCCTCAAGAACTTTTTTGCTGACTTTCCATATGGAACTACTAATTGTTRGATTATGCTGATTATATGAAAATCRTTTTATAAAATCTCATAGTGACTTTGTCAGAGAAAGCTTTTGATGCTTGGCATATTACCATCTTATTTCTATTCTGAACATCCCTAAGCTGAACAGTCATTCAATCCCTTTGTCTTTTCCTTCTCTTCCTTTGTTTTCAAGTAAATTTGTGCTGTTTAGGATTTTTTTTTTTAATTTGCCCTCTTAGATGCATCAAAGATTATCAAGATCCCTTTTTACTTTTCCTGCTGTTAAATCTGTGTACAAAATAAGAGCATTTATATAATATAGATSCTTAGTAGTGCTATGCTTGTTCAGTTTTTTTTTCCCTTGCAACAGTGTTCAATGAGACAGTGTGAGTAGTTACTCAGCTTCATAATTACCATCAATGTAATGAATAATTACACACATTGAATACTGATTCATTTTCAGTAATACTAAAGGTTAACTCATGTGGATGCTATTATATCCATTTAAATTTTTACCACTTTTGGATACTTTTGTYTCGAATGGTGCATTTTGCCAAAGAAGCACAGCACAGTTTGCATATCAGACTTTTCTGTAGGTCAAGCAAAAGTAATCATAGTTTATTATTTCCTGCTAAAGCAGATGCCATCTATTTTCCTTCAATAAAGTAAATTATAGCTGTTTATTAACAACTAAAATTAGATGTAAGCAAGTGTTTTGAGAACTSGATGAAGCTCATTTCTTAGTGTAAGCTTAAAATGTATTCTTGAAATAGTGAGCATCATATGGTCAATCATTTATTATGCACTTTTTGTGACAAACCATTAAGTATTTCAACAGTTGTTTGTGTGCATGCTRCAAATCTGTGCTGACAAACTGGAAATGGTCCACCCTGACTTACAAWGGCAGCCTCAGTGCTCATAGATAARTKAAGTGYACTCTGTAAAAAATTAAARGATACTAATTAATRTAAAGTTTATTGTGTGTACTGTGTCATTCAGATATATATATGTTTTTCATTCAGATTGTTTTATTTTGCTCATATGACTAAAGAGTGTAGGCCTGATCTTGCTTTTATTTTCTCTGTCTGAGCAGACAAATGCATTGCTCATAAAATCTGACAAACTGAGATGGGAACAACTTACTCTCTCCTGAGCTCTATGAACATCATCATAAATGGCATCATTTTTTTTTAATATATATATATAACCTTTTCTGTATGCAGTACAACTTCTTCCAGTTCAGGTAGTGCCACTGCAGTTTTATTAAAACAGAACTCCTGGGGAATATTTGAGGAAGACAGAAATTTCATCTTGGGCAGGCATGCAGGATTCCATCCTTGTAAGAAATGAAAGGTCTTAAAAGGAACTTTCCAAAACCACGGGAATGAGAGCCTTGGGATCTCAGCTCTGCTTGCAGTGTTAGCTGAGCAAAAGGAGACTGTTTCTGTTTATTCTCCTGTTGGCTCTGGGAATCTTTTCCTTTCTCCCTACACAGTCACCAGGCTCTAGTGACTGAGAAACAGGAGGTGGGGGTTTGAACCCAAACAGGCTGATGAAAGCAAACCCTAAGGGCAGCTGTAACCCCTTGCATGTAATTTGTAAAASTGGGGAATCATTTCTTCCTCCCGATGTGTTTTTGAAGAAGATTGCAGGTGAATTCAGTGGAGTCTGAAAGCGTGTGAGATGTTTGTGGCACCAACCCTACCAGAGCCACGGTGCCTTTAAGTGCCTCTCCCTGAATCCCACAGCACAGTTGTAGAAATTCATGGATATCAGGCACTTAAGTGACTATTTGGTTTACACCTCAATGCAAAAGAGAAATGTAAGTTATTTTAAGACTACATCATGCTAGAAAACTGGTGCTCAAAATCKCTCTGAGATCCAGAAATTATTTACCTTGCCTTCAACCAGTTGCCTCCTATCACTCAGCTGAAATCCGCCTTAATTTCCTCTTTCTGGATTTTATAAACAGTCTTTTTTCAGTCCTTAAACTTATTCAGTGAACAGCCAGCCACAGCTTTMCATGTTTGGCATTCAGCAGTAGGTAAACAGATGAGTTTGTTATTGTTTACTTCCAAAACTGATTGAATACAAATTCCTTATCATTGTCTTTTGGAAGCTTGTTTGTAGTACTCAGTTTTCAGACGGTAGTCCCATTTTTTTTCCCTATTTCCCCGTAATTCGTGTTTTCCTGACCTCTACTTTTATTCAGCAAAAGTTAGGTCGCTCTTTAAATTCCAGACTGAAAGAGAGTAAATCCAAAGACAACACTTATGGTTCAAGAAAACCCTTTCTACCATTCAACTGTCTAAAGATAGCTTTGCCTGTACACACACACCGTTTCTTGAGCCCCTACACGGGATTGTTTAGGTGTTTTCATTAGGGGATAAATGGGATCAGAGTGCACCATTTAGAGGAAACATTTAAGTGACATAGAAGGTAAAAATATGACCATAATAAAGAAAATGCAGTTCCCCTGGAATGGTGTCATCACATCCTCTCTACATGTATAAGAGGAGCACCCCTAGAAAGTTACATGTCAACATTTCCCACAACATCAGCAATTTGGGGGCAATACATGGATGAGGAAAGCAAAGTGTCATTCCATTTATTTGTACTCTGCTGCCTTGGGGTAAGAACTCGGATACCTGCCACCTCCAGTCTACAGTTTCCAGCATATTAAGGCTGTCAYTAATACAGCTTCTTTGGAAATTCTAAATGCTGTGATTCTTTTCATTAATTAATTTGATTCATTTTTTCAAAGTTAAAATTAATTAGTAAAATAGAATGCATTATCATTATAAAATGTGATATRTTGATTATCTAAATATTAAACATGCCTCTGTCTTAGGCAGGCATTTTAAAGTGCACTGCCATGTTTGGCAAGTCAGTGACGTTATTTGTCAGTGGTAAGCAGCAAGCTCTATCTTGCCTTTCTCAATGTCACAAGTTTAATATGTACTTAGAGTAAAAAAATGCTACATTTCAGGTCTAAGCATTTTCTAAAAATAGCCTTCTAATGGCAAGCAGATGTAATCCCACATAGATTTATCTACCAGGTAGTCTGAGATGGCAATGGAGTGTTGAAGAGTTTATGAAAGACATGAACTACTTCCATTCATCTCAGTGGCTCTGAATCCTGCCAAATTCCCAATGTCCTTGCTCCAGTGCTTCAGAAGCAGCTGAGGCAGGGGAACGTGTGGCAGTGTCTGTCCTCTCTACTGGCAGCAAAACATGTTAAAATACACACTAAAATTGATGACCTTCTCTGAAGCAGGTTACAAGCTCAGACTGACCTGTCTATAAATATTTTAAAAGGATATCATTTAATCTGTGCAATGGATTCAATGCATTTCCCCTGCATTCAGTGAAACCACACGTATCTTATTACTCAATGTATTTAGATTAGCCCCTGAATAAAGTCCTCAAATTTTTCATTGTGGAAGTGTAGGAAAGCACCTTTGTGGAGGTAAAATACTTAAGCATAAACTTAATTTCAACAGTGTGCTGAAAAGTTASCATATGATACTTAAAATTAAGCAGGTGCTGAAGTTTGCCTGAGTCCTAGGACATTCTAGGGAGCAGTCACTGGTTCACTTCTAACTGGAACATAAGAGTTCCTGGAGTTAATCTGCCTGGGGAATTAATGAGCACCTACAATTCACAGGATGGCCTCCACACCATCTCCCTTTCTGGACACTTTTGACGTGCAGTTGGTGTAAGGTAGTTCATGGTTTTTGTGCATTGGTAACCTTCCTTGTTCAAAATAGGTTCCCTTTGTTGACGAACATTTCATTTTATCAACTGATGATAATTATTTGAATAAATAACTTTCTTGATCTGACAAAAGACTTCCTTCACTCCAAATGCTGAATTTGCACAGGCTTCTAATGAGGGGGAGAAAATWGAACATCTGGCTATAGCGTTTGGATTAATTGAGATCATTGTGCCAGAGATATTTTAAATCCTCATAAAAGTCCCAGAAGTGAAACACTTAGGTTGGAAAATAGTAAGCAAAACCACAAGTGAAGGGGAAAAATGAAAAAACCTATGAATATGTAGGGTATGGAGTGGCAAACTGTCAAATTATCCTATTAACTAGCAATGATTTGGTTTGTTACCTATAGAATCACCTGGGAGACAATATAAAATGGATACAGAAATCATCAAAATAAGCTACCAAAAAATACCCAAAAGGTATTTGTAAACAATTCTGCAGATAAAACAGTAACTTAAAATTTGGAAATAAAAGCATTTTMTTTGAGCAGCCTTTCTCAAAAATATTTCACTTCAATTTTTTCAGGAGTCACTTCTGTGATGTCTCCACATTYATTTTACAGCTCAATCTATTGTGTCAAATGATGAACAGATGAAGACAGTAGAAGAATCTGTCTTGTTCTGTCTCCCTTCAAAGTCTGAAAGGGCTGTGCATCTGAATTATGAACATTGTCCAGATCAGGGGCTGGAATAGCTCTTTTTGGCCCCCTACAAAATAATGAGATTGATGAGACCAAGGCAAGAGGAAGCTCRGGAAATGTGTCCCATTCTCAGCCTGCCCAAACCAGTTTCACTGCTGGCCACGGATGCAAGAGGCAGAATTAATTTTCTTTATTTTGTCTTGCCCGGTCTTTAACCGGCARTAGCAGAGTACTGTCCTGTCAACCTGCAAAGCAGAATGTTCATTCTTGTGATTTTTCATTGCTTAATAATTGTACAATTGTTGGCCTGAACTCTGTTGTACTCAGACACACTGTCCTTTCCAGGTAACGTTCCGGACAAGGATCTACCACTGTAACATTAACAGCCAAGGCGTCATCTGCCTGGACATTTTAAAAGACAACTGGAGTCCGGCGTTAACCATTTCTAAAGTTCTCCTCTCCATCTGCTCCCTCCTCACAGACTGTAACCCAGGTAAGACAAATTAACTTTCATATCCATGTTCATTCATAGCTGTCATTCATTCAGCTGCTAAGATGCGTTTAGTGCTCTGGTTTGCTGGTACCTATGAAAAAAGACAATAAATGTTAATTTTAAATGCCATTCATATAAATAGTATAAAAACAAAGTAGATTTTCAGGAGCTCAAGTGCAGTTTTAGTACTGAAAAATATTTTTTTTTAATTCAGAAAGTTTAATCAGTAGAAAATACCTTAGTATGCACTAATTTGGATATTACAACCAGGATATTACTACCAAGAAATAKTAATAAGTTAATAAATATTGAAAAGGAAAGCTTTCATTTAAATATGSTGATAATGTGGTCTCTGAAAAGAATATTAATAGCACTGACAATGATAGATGCCTAAYGCAGACTCTACAAATAATGAAAATTAGTTTAAATGAGGTTTATTCAATATCTTGGGCAGTCAGCGTGAGTATTCAAAGCAAGCTGTCATTCTTATTAACTATCATAGCACTTAACCTCTCCCCTCAGCTCTTCTAGATTTGTTTTATGTCATTGACCACTAGATCTGTAATTTCCACTTTCTCTTACCCTATTTACCAGTGGATAATTCTGGCTGTAGTTTTGGAAAATCATAATGTGCAGAAGTTACTAAAGAATCATTGAGGAAAAATTATGTGATGTTTATATGTCGTGAGGGTTGTTGCTGGCTTGTTTTTTTTATTATTCATTTCAATATTATTTTTAATTTGGCCAAAGGGCTAAAAATTGCTTTGKAAAGGGCAGAATGTGAGATTCTGGTGTAATCAGGGGATGAATTGAAAGCTGTAATAGAATATTGAAATATTTCAAAACTCAAAATAAGGTAAGAGCAGGCAAAAATGTGATTGACTGTTTTAATTTTCATGTGGATTTGTTACTGTATAGAACATTGGAACCTGTGGTGCTCCTTTCAACTAAGAGCTGGAGTGATAGAGTGCATTTCTTTCAGATGGATTGAATGCTCTCTGCTTACATCTCTGAAAGATTGATTTCTGTTAGTGTTTAGCCAAAAATATACAGAATTGTCTGTAGGCAGTCAGGCAGATAGATGACAGAAGTGTTAAAAAAACAAATTAATGTTTGCTCATGTGTCTTAGAGGCCAGGTAAAGAGCTACAGATGCTGCAAAGCTGTGTAGAGATTAATAAATACATGCTCTCTTGTGGTCACCTCTCTTTAGAAGGATACAGTCATCTTGAAAGCCAGACACTTTCCAGCAGTGATTTGAAATTTAGAAATTCACTGCTTCTGCCCTCTCAATCTTAAAACCTTTACAGATGCTGTCAAACAACAGTTTTAGTGTATCAAGTGTGTAAGAGGAATACTGAAAACTGTTATACATACTATATTATCATGTGCAACAAGCTAAMATACCAAAAATGGGAAGTTCTCCATTTAGCCTCTTTAAGTTAGCAGCCCTTAGTGTTGTTCTCACCGTAGTAATAAGGCAATTTTGTGATGTTTCATCTCTTCTCTTTAATTATGAAGTAGTTTTGGATTTTGTCACCACTTCATGGCAAAATTTTCCTTTTTTTGATGAATAAATGCAGTTTCTTAATTTGTATCCCCCTCTTACAAGGCACTGCTGGCAGGTATTTTTGAGCTGCTGAGTCATTTTCACCTTCCTTGAAAACTGCCTGTTTCATGTTAGATCCTCTTTTTATTTAAAAGTGAACTTTGAATGCTAGTGACATTCAACAGAAGGCTTGCAAAAATTTACAAGTCCTCACTTTTCATCCTATTGTCTAACAACGTTGCAATTGTACTGCCTGTCCCATTATTTTTCATCATATTTAATCGTTAAAAAATTATTGATTACTTGCCATTGGATGGATGGATGGATGGATGGATGGATGGATGGATGGATGGATAGATAGATAGATAGATAGATAGATAGAGCACTGAAACATATATCACTGAAATATATCATATATATATATATATATACACACATGTGTGTAACTACAGAAACGTGCATATATACATTTTCCTCTCTGTCAGCTGGGAGTAATTTTCTAATCCCTCAGTCATCTCTTCATCTAACTACTCTGCCCCTTTCTAGAGGCAGAAACACAACAGGGGTCTCGATTTGATATAAGCAACTTTGAACTCTTTTTTCACCATTCATCAGCCAGAAGCAGATCAGGTCAAATGGAAAGGCAACATTGAACCTCCCACAAACATAAACACTCAGGATGGACGAGTCTTCCACCCTGGCCTCTGAAGGGAAGAATCAAGTATCAGTTACCCCCTACTCTTGCATTTATGCAAATCTTCATTAGAACAACAAATAGGAGTAAGAATGGCAGCTAATTAACCCTCAGTCATACCCAGTGATTAAACGGCGCTGAAGCACAGCTGCAGCTTCATTGGCAAGCGCTGCTATTCTTCTCCAGCAGGCTGAGCAAATGAAAAGAGGTATTTGCTCCTGCAGCTCCTGTCATTCACACAGTAATCTACAAAAGCCACGGGGAGAGTCTCTTTCCTCCCTGGTTATACATCACTGCCCTTTGTTCCGTATCACTCCAGGCAGGAGCAAGTTTGTCCTTTTTAAACAACTAACACAATCCTTTACTCATAAGCTGCCTCAGACCCTTCAGTCCTGATTATTATTAATTATCTCTGTTTTGCTTGGCAGTATCAGCCAGTAAACTGTGTTAATGAAATGTCTGAATTTTGTAACAGCTGGCTGACTTTTTCATGGGGGGAAGGGGTGTCTCAGGGTTTGTGTATGACTGAACACATGTGCATTGTCTGGGAGTGAGAGAGAGCCAAATGGAGTGGTGTCCGAGGGGTGGGACTGATGGTGGGGTACACCAGCATCCAGTCCAGGGATTAGTGTTTTTCTTTAAGGTGGTACTCRAGGCCACATCACACATCCCTTTCTACAAAGCAGGGCTCCAGTTCTGTGAATACTTTGGCATGTGATGAATAACCCTACAAAATGTGACAGATATATCGACCTGCAGAAATTGAGCCAGTGAGTGAGTGAGTGAGTGAGTGAGTGTGTGTTTACAGGCTCTATGCCTGGGTGCTGCGAATTCCTGCTCCCAGTGTTAGCTGCTAGGGCTGACCTATGAGGGCAGTTAATTAATTCTGAGTAACTCCATGTGTGGACACTCCCCACTTTGAAAATGTATTAAGTTACGAAAACCTGCCTTGCTTGGAGTAGAAGTCAGCTATACTTTAAGTGTTCAAACAGAGCCTGGGGAGTGTAAATTCCCACAGTGCCTTAATCCAAAGAGCTTTCAAGTGCAGATGGCCCCTGAGATTTTGTATTTTGCTGAGTTTGAAGTGCTAAGCAAATTAATTTTTTTTTATATTTACAGGGCTGGTGATRCTGATCTGGGTTAGAATGTTGATTTTTCTCAATTGATCTTTGCCATCCTGGCCCTGCCAAAGGTTTTTGAGCCCCAGGAAAAATACCATTTGAAAATACTTAAGAGAAAATAAATTGTAACACTGCAATACTTTCTTTTCATGGCTTCCTTCTTCACATTCAAAACCTGAACTTGGCTGGCCTGATTATGCCCAATATCTGAACAGCCTAAATATTGAATGGTGTCTGCTTAATAACACACAGCTAAGCCTTGATTAGAACATCAGAACAAAGCCTGCTACCTCTCCCTTACACCAGCCTCTTCCCTTCTGGTGCCATCCTCTGGCTCTGGCTCCTTACCATTTTTCCCACATGCAGGTTCCACGGTCAATGTGATTTTTATGCCTCAGCTGAGATTTTGGAACCAAATGCTTTGCTGCTGCTCCTGGCCCGCTTCCCTGCATGGCAGTCGTGCCCTTCTGTGAGCTCCTGTGATGGGGATGTGCCAGAGGGTGCACACAGAGRATGAGTGGCAGACTGAGGTGTGGGCAGCCACGATGCTGCTTTCTCACAAACATTAGACTGAACACCAGGCTGGCAGCTGTAGCCAAAGTAAAAGCTGAARGGCTCTACAGAGCCTCACTTGCTTTGCTCTTTAGAAATTTCTGCATGATTCCTAAACTGAACTGAMTCACGGGAATTTTAGACTCATTTGTTTTTAAGCTTAAGTGACCATTTTCCTGGTTTTCACTCCCAATGTACTAATAAAGAACCATTCTCTTTCCACCTTACYTTTATTTGCTGTGCACTACCAGACCTGTGTCTATGAGCTTCCTTCTGTAAGAGAGGCTTTCTGTTCCCCTGCTCATCCTCASTGCACGCATCCTTCCTGAATGCACCTGACTCTTGGAGTTCACTGGGGCATGAGGCACAGCTAGACAGACTAACCCCCTCATCATCACTGTCATCCGGGTGGAAATATTTACTGCTCCCTGTTGGATGTCCCTATCTCACTTGGCAGCCCCACTGAAGGTTATTTCTGTCTTAGCTCTGTCATTTTCACTGTTTGTCTGCCTTTTAACCCAATTGAGTGAAATGGTGGAGAAAGGAAAAGAGGGAAAGGAAAGAGAAAAAAGGAAAAGGGGGAAAAAAAAAGGAAGAGCAAAAGAAAGAAAAAGCTTTTGCTAGAAAAGGGCATGAACTTCTGGCAAAGGAAATGTACAAACAACTGCCTGCAGTACCCACTTCACTAGGGTCAGCACTAGTCAARTTGGTTCCTCTGCTCTCAGATACTYCAGTGATATATTATATTAGCAGTGTGAAGCTGTTTGTCTCGTTACCTTTTAAGCTCACCAGAAAGTATGAGGCAGTTTGTTTAGTGTTACATGGAAAGTTTGTTGTGAACGTAGTTTGAGGCTGAAGCGTGTGTGTCCTCACAATAAATGTACTTAAAAGAGTAAATGGTTTGGACAAGTAGCACATTACTTTGATGTGAGATCCATCAATTTTTGTAGTAGTTGCAATTGTTCAGCACATCTGAAAAGTAAACTGTTAAAAAACTGCAACGTACGTTGTGGCTTTCAAATATATTGTACCTCGGTTAGAAGTGTATCTGATGTTTCTTACAAGTGCTGCCATGAATCATGACT